CAGGAAGAACAAGCGCAAGTTTTATTCCCTAGACCATCAGGTGCTTAGGGCTGCTGGTTGACTATAAGTCAGTTCTTTTGCACTGCACGTAGAGGACGAGTTCACATGACTTGTCGTTACTTTTGCACTCAGGGAGGCCATAGCAATGTTAAGGGAGATGGAACGTAAATGGCTAGTAAGGAGTGTGTCCGCTTGATAGATAATTTTTGACGATCAAATACGGTTGTTCAGAGCGGTTTCAGATCCGTGGACCTTCGAAGCTGACAGTTTCGTGGATACCATACATAGTAAACATACCTTAGCCACCGCAATTTCAGCGTGTGATGGGTTTTTTCTCAACATTTGGCTGGTGGTGGTCTAAGCGTTCGACTAGTTCGCGTACGTAACAAAAAAGGGCGGTCGGGAATACCTTAGTGTGTATCGTGCGGCTGTAGGCTTCAGGTTAATTATTTGAGTGAACGCTTTGAGAGGATGTGGCTGGTACTTGGTTGATGGTTGTCAAGGGCTGAATGCAGGAATGCTACTCCGCTAGAATTGGTGCTGTAGTGTTTTTCAAATTCGCACAGATATATGCACAATTGAGGTTATGCTTACCGAAACTACAGTCAACAGTTGAAGGCAATCATATAACACCTAACTCCGAATTGCCAAAAGAGGATTGATTGGATTACGGCATGTAGATAACCACAAAAAGAAAGACAGAAAGAAATGAAGAAAGATGGAGTGAAACAGAAAAGATATTTTAAAATCACTTTTCGGCCAGGATTTAATGGGTAAAGTTCGTTTTCAGAGACAGGTAGAGTGCAAACTTTGGTAAATGGATGAAAAAGACCTCCAACATTATCATTATATATCATATTGGTAGTGATAATATATTATACATCGTTTCACAATGCAGATGTCCCAAGCAATTTAATTGGAATGAAAGAAAGTCGGTGGAAAACATGATAAATCGATTCAGTTAATTTTCGACACTGGTTCCCCACGCCGTCTTTAGACTGGAGATAATGCACAACGAAAACCAAAATTTCAAAAGTGCTGGAAAAACTCAATATTCATCTGGAAGACACGAGGTCCGGTTAAAACATTTAACGAAATACTAACCCTAGTGCTGCCACTCTAGGAAGCACTGATGTGGAATGAGCGAAAGGAAACCAAGTCCAATTAAATGACCTAATTACTTGTACCTGTTGCGACTGTGATTATGCGTGATCTAGCCGGCGTTAATGATGCCGCAACGCGTGACAACTGGCGGCAGCGGATCTGTAAAGCTGCAACCAGGTCCTTCTCCAGCGACGGAAACCAAAGATACCAGGCCAAAGAACTGCGTCCATGTCCTGACGGACGGTGTTGAGCCCAGTCTTCATTTGCTCTCCTCTTCGACCCCTTCAGGTGAGCTGCGGCACCGAATCGAGGGAAGCATAAGACAGCTCGTAGGGGGATAACGGAGAACGTGCCCAAACCACCTCAGATGCTCCTTCATTGAAGACTGAAAAATAAGAGTGTATATGTAAAGCAAAATAAGGCTCTTCGCTCGCCTGGAATTATGGCTTTAATCTTCTGAGCTATTGCATTTTTACTGAACTTCATCTTCGGAGGTAAAAACGGTAAGTTCAAACAGACAATGCTTGAAGAGGACAGGAACCAATCAAACACCAGTGATACTAGTCTGGTTATGATTGCATGGGCCTCAGGGCACCGGCGCCAGCTTGCCTGAGCTTTAATCGGAAGCCCGTTCTTCATTTGATTTCTGAGCTCTCTCGCTTCTGATGTGGGCGAAACAAGACAAGCCGGGAATTTATTGAAATCCGGGCCACTGATGAGACGAAGGCAATCGCTTCAATTTGATGGAACCTGGTCTAAAGGTCATTTGATCATGCAAACAGAAAGAAACCACGTATGTTTCATTCCCTAGACCATCTTGTGGTTGGGGCTAGTGTTCTATTGCACGTCAAGGAAGGAATCACAGGCCTTGTCTGTTCCTTCTGACCTCAGGAAGGCTACATCAGTGTTAAGGGAGAACGAGAGAAAGTGGCTAATTAAGGGTGTGTCCGGATGCGAGATAAGTTTTGACAATTAAATACGGTTGTTTCTGCCGGTTTCAGATTCCTAGAACGTCGGAGTTAGCAGTTTCTTGGGTAGCTAGAATAGTAAACATACCTTGGCCACCGCAATTTCAGGGTTTGGCGTGTTTACTCTCAAAAGTTGATCTGAGCCTTTGACAGCCAACCTGTTCGCATACGTGAACAAGAATAGGTGGTCAGTAACACCTTAGTTTGCATCATGCGACTGTAAGCTCCAGGTTAATTATTTGAGTGAACGCTCAGCGATTTAACGGCTTATACTTGGTTGATCATTGTCAGGGAGTGAAGGCGGGCAGGCCTCTCAGCTAGAATTGGTGGTGTGGGATTTTTAAAATTTGCACGGTGTACATGGGGGTCGGGTGAGAGATGGGAGACCACTCATCAATATAAGATTTAAGCTTAATTTTTGAACGTAAAATTTAGTTAATCAGATCTGTTACGACGCACGCCTGGTACTTCTAGTCAGCACGAACCAGTTTCCAAAGAGCTCGGAAGAGCGAGACAGAGAGAAGACCAGTCAGCCAGCGAGAGAGAGTTTACTCAGACAGAGCACATTAGAGTACGTCAGTGCAAGTCAGCGCAAGCCAACTCAGACACAGGGAACGCGAGAGACATCGTCCGAAAATGGGCCAATCAGGCTCGCAGGAAAAATCGATAGTCACGTCGCGCTCTCATGATGGCTGCGTAAGCTTAGCTCGCGGGCCTTTCTGTAAGATAAATAGTCATGGGAATGAACGCATTTCAAAACACCTCCCTTCAAGTGTGTCAGTACCGCTTATAGCGTGGATTGACCTGTAAGCGCTGCGGACTTTGGCGAGCACGTTTGGTCCGGCGTGTTGAGGGAGGTTTCGTGTCTACTGGTGCGGGGCCAGGAACTGGTTCCGAAAGCGGGACATTCGAAGGGGCTGAGGCCCTCGGTTCGGGGATGAAGTGGTCTGCTCGAAGGGCAAATGTGTCCAGCAGGATGTCGAAAGGGAGTGAATCGTCTGATTCATGCCTAATTGGTTAACTGTACTGCTGCCGTCGGATCTGATTGTGGTGACGAACCCAGTTGTCATCACCGACAGAGATGTCAAACAGCATGCTGCCTCTGTGCGCTATTATCGTCCCCTCAATCCAGTCTGGGAGCCCTGCTCGGTAGTCACGAACAAAGACAGGCGTTTCAACGGAGAGCTTGCCACGAGAGACAGGTGGATCCCACCTAGTTCTCAAAAAATATTGTTATAGATAGGGAACATGCTTTATACAGTAAAGGCAGCATTAACAAATTGACGGATATGATGTATTATGAATGAATATCTGAAAATTGTCAAAAAGGTCATAATTAGAAGTATTTTTAAAACCGAAAGATACCCTTTCTGTAGGTAGAAAATTCAAAGAAGACATAATTTTTCGGCATGTTTTCCATAAAATATATTTGCATTTATGAAGGCCGTCACAATCAACAACAAAAGGCATACTTGTTAGGTATTCGCTTTTTTAAAGTACATACCCTTTCTTGGCGGTCAGAAAGAAACTCATTAAAAAATCGGCATCCTCACGTGACCTAAATATATTAAGATCGACATTTTAAAAAAGCATACGCAATTTATATGTTTGAATCGAAAGCCCATTATAGAATTCCGGGTGACATTTCATTAATAAGGGAATCTACTGTAGTTTGACCGTCCAGGGGATTCTTGTGTTTCGAAACACTAGGATTTGAGGATGAAGTTTTGACAGAGAAGTTCTGTACCCAATCAAGGCTTAATTAAACGTCGATGAATGATCACAATAAACTCCCGTCCCCATTATAAGAAATGTTATAGTATTCGCAGAAGAGTACCATTAGCCAACGAAGTTTTGCGTCACTCTGCCTCTGACGTCGAATTATTCTGAGGGTTAAGTGGTTTGCCTTTTGTTCCAAAATGGCCATCCCTTCAACTTAAGTATGCACTTATAATACGCCAAGCCTATATGCTATATTTCCAAGTAGTCACACCTGGCAAGCATTAGAGGTCACCGGTCACATTTCATCTTCCCGATGAATAGGAGTGCTGATAATAGCAGAAAAGTCTACCCTTGTGTTTTTAATAAAAATGCGTATCTGGCTACGAATCATTCAGCTACGACTTCGCCTTACCCATAAGGAAAGGTATTAGCAGTTGTCCAAAGTAAAAAATGGGTCTACTGCGCAATAATCGCCACCAGGCAGTTTGATATGCAAACGCCTCCCTTGGAGGCGCAGCACCATTGTTAAGGAGCAAAGATATAGCCCTATGTCACAACCCTTACCATACAAAGCAGTTTAGCATAACAACAGCTTAACGCGATCGTCCGCGCGATTGTGCCATGAAGGGGCGTTTACTCCGAATCTGACTGGCTGGATGACAGCCTGCGCGACCTTGACACAACCAATGGGCACCACCAACTGTCTTTCACTGTCTGCATATAAATAGCGCTGATCGACTCGACAACAGTCCTCACGGTAGTTTTACTAAGACCGTGAGTTGTCTTCCCATTTATTTCCTTATTCAAGTGGTTTTGCTTTATCAGGTAAATTTCCCAGAGTGCAGTATGGTTTAAATTTGTATGCAAAGACGTCAGGTCTTGTTAAGATGGTGGTTAATTAGTTTGATATATTTTACACTGGCTCGAACGATTTCTAGCAATCCGTTGTCTACGCACAATATGCAAACCAGCGGATGAATGGTACACCACTTGTGGGGCACCGCTGCAAGACACAATATACAGGCTCTTTTGAAGATTGACCGAAAGCTTCTGGAAGGTTATTACGAAAGGTCTCCCCTGAGATATCACCCCAATGAAAATTTTAATTTGCACATATTTCGGTTATGTTAAATTTAAGCCTAAGCTGTAGTTAAATGTGATTTTTTCGTAAATGCCTCTGTCCTATACTCCCCGGCAGGATCAACCATGGCCTACATTGGCAAGGGCATTCAAGTGGGTCTGTCCTGGGTAAAAACAAAAGCCGGAGACCTCCCGGAGGGTGCCATTGAGACGCAGCCCGGTGTCTACATATGCCGTGCCGTGCACGATGGTGAACAAATACCCGGCAAATATGTTCCACGTTATGCTAAAGCCTACGTCTGCCACGCTGGCAAGGAACACCAAAAGACGGAGTGTGAGGTACTCTGCGATACCAGTATACACGGGCATTGTGGCTGGTAAGCAACCATGTCGAACCTCATGCACTGCTATACCGGTGCGTGTTGATACTCCATTTCGTAGGCCAGTTGTAAAATAAGGAGTTTATTCAAGCAAAAACGCACGCAGCTGGAATGTGAAAAGGGCAGCTATTCAAGCCAAGCGGTTGTCTGTGACCGCACGAGTTTTGAGTCATTTACGCTACTACTACTACTACTACTACTACTACTAC